CCAGAGATCTGTCTGCCAGAAAGAGCCAACTGTCAAAGCTGAAGACCGAGTGTGGCAGCATCGTTTCCAGGGCACCTGAGATTTTGAGTGAGATTGAGAGGTTCTATGGACAGCTGTAAACGTCATCGTTGGAGCCACACGCAAGTGTGAGTAACGATCCAAGAGCGAGTCTTATCCGACACTATTCCGAAGATATCCCGGACGTCAGTCTGAGCGAGATTAGAATGGCTCTCCAACATCTTAAAAACGGGAAGGCCCCAGGCGAGGATGGAATTACAGCGGAGCTTCTGAAAGCGGGTGGAAAACCGGTACTTGAAGTCCTTCAGAGGCTCTTTAATTCCGTCCTCCATGGTGGTATTACACCGGAGGCGTGGAGCAGAGGTGCGGTGGTCTTGTTCTTCAAGAAAGGTGACAATGCTCTCTTGAAGAACTACAGACCGATTTCCCTTCTGAGCCCCGTCTACGTGCTGTTTTTGAGAGTCATTACGAATCGTCTCACACGCAGACTTGACGACTTCCAGCCTCTCGAGCAAGCCGGTTTCCGAAAGGGCTTTAGCACCATAGACCACATACATACCCTTCGGCAAGTTGTACAGAAGTCCGAGGAGTACAATTTACCACTATACCTGGCGTATGTGGACTATGAGAAAGCCTTGGATTCCGTCGAAATTTGGGCGGTGCTGCAGTCCCTTCAGCGGTGCCAAGTGGACTGTCGGTATATCGAAGTGCTGAAGTGCTTGTACAGTAGGGATACGAAAGCTATCCGAGTACAGAACCAGAGTACGAAACCTATCCAATTGCAGAGAGGTGTAAGACAGGGTGACGTTGTATCCCCGAAACTCTTCACCGCTGCATTGGAAGACGTTTTCAAGCTTCTGGACTGGAAAGGATACGGTATTAACATCAATGGCGAGTACATCACTCACCTTCGATTTGCCGACGATATAGTCCTTATGGCAGAATCGCTGGAGGGCCTAAGCACTATGCTCAATGACCTCAATAGTGTCTCCCAACGGATAGATCTTAAGATGAACATGGACAAAACAAAGATTATGTTTAATGTCCATGTCACTCCTATGTCGGTAGTTGTTGGGAGCACTAAGCTCGAAGTTGTTGACGATTATGTTTACCTGAGACAAATAGTCCGACTAGGTAAGTCCAACTTCGACCGAGAGGTCAATCGACGGATTCAACTCGGCTGGGCAGCGTTCGGGAAGCTACGACACATCTTCTCGTCAGACATACCTCAAAACTTGAAATTGTACAACCAGTGCGTGTTGCCAGTGATGACTTACGGATCTGAGACGTGATCCTTCACTGCTGGCCGTATGAGGAAGCTCAAGGTCGCTCAGCGAGCTATAGAGAGGACTATGCTCGGAGTTTCTCTGCGTGATAAACTTAGGAATGAGGATATCCGCAGTAGAACCAGAGTAACCGACATAGACCAACGAATTAGTAAGCTGAAGTGGCAGTGGGCCGGCCATATAGCTCGAAGAACTGACAACCGATGGGGAAGAAAGGTTCTTGAGTGGCAGCCTCGTACCAGTAGGGGAAGTGTAGGGTGACCCCCCACGAGATGGGGTGACGACCTGGTAAGACATGCAGGAAGTTGATGGATGCAGGTGGCTCAGGACCGTGCTTTGTGGCATTCCTTGGGGGAGGTCTATGTTCAGCAGTGGACTTATGAAAGGATGTAATGATGAGATTACCTACCTAATACTCATATTAAGTTTTCGTTTTTCAGCCTGTTACACACGCTATATATTTTAATATTATGTACGATGTATGTACATAAAAATTTAATAATACACTAATACAAACGCCATGAATGATTTTTTTTAATATGAATCAATATTAAATTACAAACAGAATTAAATTAAGCCTTTCGCGTGTTACCGCTTCCTTGGCCACTCCTTGTTCTTATTGATAACGTTTCAGTATTATTACAGTAACAAATACCATTCGAACGTCGTCATCGATACTCTTTATCGTGTATGACTTGTTTATAAAATTACATGTAATACAAAATAAATATTGTTTCATGAATGAATCATACTCAAAATATTAATTGGATATGTAAGACCTACCTGAATGCATTTAGACGACAGTTTTTATTTATTATATTATACATATTATATATTCCATAGATTAATGATAGGTCATCGCGCTGTCTGAGCGCGCGAAGACCTATCATTAATCTAAGATATATTCGTATGCTTTTAATTTCAGTATAATCACCTTTTTATCAACCCGTTAACAATGTCATGCTGGAAACGGACCGATGGACGAATCTTATGTTAAAATTTCACATCTCGCAACTTTGACGCTGCTCGTTCCGTTTTTTTTTTATATCACCGATATATACAAGATCGCTACATATACATATTACTCCTTCCATCTATTTGATCATATTGTATTTCCAATAGTCGTCTCTTACGACAATAATGAGATGATAAACCGGGATGGATTTTACGAAATAGCTTTTTGTGGAAATACACTTCATAAATAAAAGGAATTTAAGTATTTTTTTGGAATTTAACGCATTTAATATTAAACTGCTTAATATAACGATATCAAATCTGTATTCATTATTATCACGAAATTCCTCATGCAATTTTAAATCACCGTGTATTTTGAAACACATGTAATTATGAACATTTTTACATTAAATTTCAAATGTAAGTCCGATATCGATTTGCTTGTTTTGATTTTGACACAAATTGCTAGTTTTGAGTATGTTCCATTTTTGTAAAGGAGGCGATAGAGCTGTGTCAGGATCGTGCCAAATGGAAGTCCGGTAGTGCCTGCCTACCCCTCTGGGTGACAGGCGTGAGTGCTTATGTTATGTTATATGTTTTTTTTTTTGTTTTTGTCACCAAATAAAGAGATTATAAAAATCTTTAATGACATGATATAAGAATCTTTAATATTCAAAATATAAAAAACCCCATTATTAAAGTCACCACTAAACTTAAACTTAGTGTAAGTGGTGAGCTTTCTTTATAACTCAAGCCACACATTGTGTTTGTCCTGTCGCTGCACGCTCTAATGAAGCCTTGGGCTAATGCTTTTGGAGATACAATTTGAATTACATAAACTATGTAATTTTGTTTAAAGTTCTTAAGTTCGATTTTTAATTTTAAATGTGTAGTATAAATTAAAGAAAACGAAGACGGGGATTTTTAGGCCTTATTGTAATGACTTGAAATATGTAATATAACTTATACGAATACTACTCAGTGAATAAAACTAATTGTACGTATTTTATTGCGTTTAATTTGACTTATTTTACTTATTTGGATTCCCGATATTTCGGGTGCTTTACAGCACTCATGGTCATGGAGGGATTGAGGGATATGCCCTGATGTAAAAAGTCAAATTAAGCGCGATGAAACCCGTAAAATTAGTTTTTTTCAAGTTGAGATATGATTTAAAAGTGGATTATATTTTCTTCATATTTTGCAAATTTAGAAAGTACTTTAAAACGAAAAAACAGAACCCTCATAGGATCGCTTCGATGTCCGTCTGTCCTGCAGCTAGGCTATTCACAATGCCTTGGAAAGATTTCTCTCGGATGCGGGAAGGTTTCGTTCGTCAAGTATTCGATCCGAATGTCACAGAATTTGGGATTCACAACATGTCCTCTCGTTTAGGATTCGACACGGAAGGTTTTCCGAATGTCAGTCGGAGTGCATTAAGTACAAATATTGAAGTAATTATATGGAAAATACGTCCTATAGATAATTGCAATTAATTTGTGTTATCTACCTTATAGGTACTTAAAAAAGCTTATTTATGTCTTTTAATTACCACTTTGTAAGTTTTCGCCAGCCTCAGAGCTCTCGTAAAGTTTCCGATGCGAACTGTCACTATTCCCTAAAATGAATGTCAAATTTATCCGAACGGCGGATGTGAATAGTGTTTATTGGTTTCCGTGCTAGAAGTTATCGAATTCAAGTCGATTTCCCTTTCCGAAACGATTGTGAATAGATCTGCTGTACGTCTGTCAAGACCCTTTTTCAGAGGGTATATCAAGTTAAAATTGATATCAAATACGTCTACGGTCCGTACATTAACCGTGAAGTGGCGGTGTGAGATAATGCACCACCCGTGTGGACGACACGGGTGGTACATAATCTTTTCATACTTACATCCGCATTTGGAGCATCGAGTGTGGTGTAGACCGATGTACGGGAGAACGTTTTCTCCACTGTAAAGATAACTGCTTCATTCAAACTTACCTTTTCGTTAGAGCAATTTTCGATGTTTACCGTACCTATAATTAATACCTAAGTTCATACTTTAGTAAGTTGATTATTTTGGTGAAAGTATAAATACTTATCTCAAGCTGCTTACTCAATTATGCCTGCCTATTGTATGAAAATGTATGTTTCCTATCTTTGACAATTTACGGCATTCGTGTATCGGTATTGAAAACAAGAATAATACGTCTAGACTTTCGAGACTTTGGATGGATAAACTATCTATGCATAATTTATTTTATTCGGATCCTCAGGGCGCGAGTCCTACTTGTCCCACTTGTTTTGTTTCTCTCAGGATTGTGAAACAATCCCAATCGCATATTACAAAAATAGTGATGAACAGAATATGGTAGAGCCATATAAAAATATAAAAGTATGTTTCTTACGTGGTAGAGTCATGCTGCAGCTATATTTCTGGTATAGTTGTAACACGAACGGGTCGGCTAGACCGGGGAAGGACCACGCTCTCACAGAATACTAGCGTAAAATAGCAGCTTAATGCTGCTGTGTTTCGTATGGTGAGTGTAGAGAACGACCCTTTTTACTGAAAACGAGGCATTCCATCTTAGTCTTCACGGGTGACAACGCATCTGCATTTTGATTCGTATTCGAGGATAAATGTAGATGTCTATGGGCCACAGCAACTACTTACCATCAGATGGACTGTGTGCTCCCTTGTCACCCTTATCCTATAAAAAATGTGATGATAATGTGATATTTTTTTTAGATCAATCAAAAATGTACTGGCTAGCCGTGGTATGCGGGGTGATATCGTGCGCGCACGCACAGTTGACGGCTCAGTCAAGTTTAGCACCAGAGCTAAGAGAATGTTATACGGATCCGGCACTAGTTAACAGAAACAACTTGCCGCCCACCACCATGCCCGTGCTCATCGACATCATCCGCAAGATTGAGGACAACCCCAACATTAACGTAGACTTGAGACAGCTTGCAGTTTTACTACTTCATACGTAAGTGTCTAACAAATGTTATAAAATATGACAGTATGTTTGTTTGGATTTTTGTCATTCAATGACGTAGACAGATTTTAATGAAACTTGGCTAAATTAGGCAAAGAAGTCGATTATATCGTTAATAAAGAATAAATATATTTACAACGTTAGAAACATCCGTCGAAGGTTTAAGTTGTTGTATGGGGTATGTGCCAGTGATGACTTATGGAACTGAGACGTGGTCCTTCACTGCTGGCCGTATGAGGAAGCTCAAGGTCGCTCAGCGAGCTATGGAGAGGGCTATGCTCGGAGTTTCTCTGCGTGATAAACTTAGGAATGAGGATATCCGCAGTAGAACCGGAGTAACCGACATAGCCCAACGGATTAGTAAGCTGAAGTGGCAGTGGGCCGGCCATATAGCTCGAAGAACCGACAACCGATGGGGAAGAAAGGTTCACGAGTGGCAGCCTCGTACCGGTAAGCGAAGTGTAGGACGTCCCCCCACGAGATGGAGTGACGACCTGGTAAGACATGCAGGAAGTCGATGGATGCAGGTGGCTCAGGACCGTGCTTTGTGGCATTCTTTGGGGGAGGCCTATGTTCAGCAGTGGACTTGTGAAGGGCTGTAATGATGATGATGAATGATGATGGGGTATGACTCTCACAGTTGACAGTCCTTCGAGCCGGATTTGAACCAGTAACCAATAGATCCAGCTTGAAGGACCAATGAATGTTTTTATAACGTTAGAAACATCCGTCGAAGGTTTAAGTTAATATGTATTAATATAGTAACTTTTAAGCCGTATGGAGTATGACTCTCACAGTTGACAGTCCTTCGAGCCGGATTTGAACCAGTAACCAATATTATAATTATTAATATTATTTATTTTAGATTATGATTTTATTACGTGGTAGAGCCATGCTGCAGCTATATCAGTAGTATAGTTGTAGCACGAATGGGTCGGCTCGACCGGGGAAGGACCACGCTCTCACAAAATACCAGCGTAAAATAGCAGCTTAACACTGCTATGTTTCGTATGTTGAATGTAGAGAACCGGAGACGATTTTTACTGGAAAAAAGGCATCTTAGTTCTCACGGGTGATAATGCATCTGCATTTTGATTCTTTTTTGAGGATAGAAATGTAGATGTCTATTGGTCACAGCAACCACTTACCATCAGGTGGGCTATAAAAAATGCTTTATATTCCTGTATATTATGCCTGGATACTAATGCTTCATATGCCTGTATACTGATCGACGAGTATTACGCATATAAGTGTTGCGTTAGTAAGAGTGCTAAGTTAACAAAATTAAATCCATATAAGTAACTGTGAAATATGTACGTACCGTCGTACAAACCGTAAATACAGTTTATAAATGTTTATGCATGTATTAATTAGAATTAGAATGAACAGGTAAATAGAACGAGAAAACTACGGTGTTTACTCCGGTGCGTGTTAACGGACTTTATATATCCTCCGAATATATTATTTTACAATAATAAAACGAAATTATGGCAAGTTGATGTAGTTGGAATGATGAACTAGATGCAGGAGGTCGATGGATGCAGGTGGTTCAGGACAGTTTTGTGGCATTCCTCGGGGAAGGCACATGTTTCACCGTGGTTTGTGAAGGGATGTAATGATGATGATTATAATCATTAAACGAAATTAGTGTCTAGTATATAGTATATACGTACGTTACGGTACGTACCAGATATTATTAAATAACTGATATTGTATCTGTAAAGTTGAAATCTAAACTATCTCCATTACAGGTACAGACAAGATGGTATCGAATACCATCAACCTGAAGTTGGCTCAGGTGTTTCATCAACTATTCTTCCTTTTGCACCCACCTTCCATTCATTTTACCGACACAGGTTACTTCTTACAAGAATCATTCCTGGGAACTTGCAAGTACTGAGTAATACAACGGTTAACTCCGAATTAAAGGTTAATATCGCTGGATTTGTTCTTAGTATATAAACATATACATATAAATCAAATTTAGGTGTCCGTTTGTAATATTAAAATACTTGCCTAGCATGTCGTAAAAGTCAACTAATGGAATATTATATTGGATTTGTGTTTGACAAATAATGGGAAAATTTGTAAAAAAATAGGTGGCAGGTCACTATTTTTAATTACACATATTAATCAAATATAAGTGTCCGTTTGTAATATTAAAATAATTGCCTAGTATGTCGATAATATAATATATATAATACATATAATAGTCGAGTAATGGAATATTATATTGGATTGGTGTTTGCCAAATAATGGGACAATTTGTAAAAAAAATAACTGGCAGGCTATGGCCTACATAATCATAAATCATATCCCTCTAGTCTAGTCGAATTTTACGACACACTACGCAAGTAACACAATTGGCTTATTCTTTTTTCTCCCTTCCGTCCAACATGGGACATCTTTTTGTATCTTTTTGTAAATGTATGTACTTAGAATCTCCTTACGACGAATACGTATATATATACGACATAACGTATCTTAGTAATTTACCATCATTCATTGTCCTAATTGCGTCGGACAATTAGATTCAGTACATCATGTTGGCGGGTTGAATCAGAATGAATCTGATTTATACGAACTACGTTTTTTAATTCTCTTGTAATTCTAAAATATTATGATTAATAAAGAAATATTTTTCTGATTAACATAGCTACATTATTTTAATTCTTTCATTATTCTTCAGTGCGCTCTACATTATATGCTTTCTACAACGGTTGACGCTCGAGTACGCGGTAATGAAAACAGCTGCAACCAGTTGTCTCAGTATAGAGCCTTGCGGACCGCAAGAGATGTCAGTCTCGTTAATGACGATGTTGAAATACTCGACCTATCAAAGTTGTAAGTATCAACAAATTGTTTACATAAAAAGTTTACCTAAAAACAATAAAGATTAAACTAATTCTAGTATAAATATTATTGTCTAAAGTTTTAAATTTTAGAACATATTGTCTGGATAAGTTCAACCGAGAGGTCAATTCAAAAGTCAATAGTCAATTTCAAAGTCAGCACGCTGCCCAGACGAGTTAACACTTTTCGTTCTCCCGAACGCTCGGGAGACTAACAATTACGCCACATCTTTTCGTTACGTACTCGTATACCTCAAATCTTGAAAACAAGATTGTATAACCAGTGCGTGTTGCTAGTGATGACATAATATGGATCTGAGAATTGTACGTGTTGACTGCTTCGTTCGAAAATGTTCGTAAACGCGATTGCTGTGCGGTCTATGGTCGAGCCAAAATTAGTGGTAGTTCATTGGCCCCGCACCTAATCTATAAGATTATGAGAGTGCACCTATGTTATTGCGTACACACTCGTGCACTTTAATCCCGACTTGCGCAGACGGCTAGTCTTCATAGAAAATGACCGCCATGATCGAAATTCGGGCTAGAGGACATTACTATGTAAATCTGTGATGTGGCCCTTCAAAGCTGGCCGGAGTGAGTAACTGACTTAGCCCAACGAAACGAGGTGGATATGAGCCGGCCATATAGCTAGAAGAACTAGCAACCGATGGGGAAGAAAGGTACTCGAGTGGCGGCCTTGTACCAGTAAGTGAAGTGTAGGGTGGCTCCCCACTTGATGGAGCGACGACTAAGGAAGTCCTTGAATTTGTGGTGGACTTACGAAGGGCTGTATGATGATGATGATGAAAGTATTAAAGGTTTTGGTTGATTATTTCAGTTACAATGTAATAAATAAACATTGTTCAGTAAAGTTTTTAAAAGGTTTGGTTGGTTATTTCAATTTCAGAAAAGGAGCAGACAGTAACGGACAGATTAGGCAATATAATCCAAAAGATGACGTCGAGTCTACATACACGGGGAGCTCGAAGTCCGAACGGCAGGTTTTAGGACAAAGTACGTGCCCAATACTCAGCGGCGTAGTAAATACACGATGGGGTGCTGTCTCCGCTGGCAATCTTATTGCGGGTATCGCAGCTGGAGCGGAATTGCAGCAAGTGCCAATTCAAGAACTGACCAAGAGTTCAATCCTCAACTACAATAACGTACAAAGTAGCGTCACGTCTATTTATCCAGCGACATTATCCGGTAAATAATTAAAAGTGTTGTGTTTCTTCAGTGTGTGTGTTTTTGATTTGATTTGATTTATTATTGAATTAGGTTGTTTTAGCAACTGAAAATATAATTTCATTTAATAACAAAGTAATATATATTTTATTATAGTAGTTGACATTGAAAACTAAATATCATAATTATTATTTAAGCGTTATTAACTACTTAATGATAAAAGTTTATTGTGGAATGAATCTAAATTTACTGATTATATCGCGTTTATTTTATAAATAATTTTAATTTAGGTCACGGGGTATACGCAGTAATATATAAGATAATGGGTAGATGCATTTAAATTTGTTGGTTTCAATGTGATTTTGTCGTAATTATTAAGGAATTAATAAAATTTTATATGCTAGGTGACTTGGCTGAAGCAGTGCTAATTCAAGGAACTGAAAGAGGCAATCCATCAATCTCTATTGGAACTGCCGGAAACTGGAACAGTTCACAAGCAACTAGATTTTACATGCTTCACAGTCGTTTAAACATCGAGATGACGGATCCTGAAATACGTGGAGACATCGATGGTTTTGTACTTGGCACTACTTTAACTTCTGTATTGGGAGTGTCCAGTACTCTTAAGTTATCACAGCTGTTAGATATGTATTATACCGCAAGGGTAAGTGATTTACAGCTGCGTAAGGCTGCATTTTCGGTGGACAGCGAGTGGCTGCGGAACCGCGGAAGCGATACGCACGTTCAATATATTTTGTATAAACTGTTTTGAGTGATCAGCTGAAAACGCGGCAGGAAAAATGGGTGTCATGAGCGCATCGCGAAATCGCCAATCTGTTTGCGTTTATCGCTCGAAATGAGCGAATGTTTTGTTTATTTTCGAAAATATCTCTTTTTCTACCGAAAATTTAATTTCTGCCGTTATGATAAGGCCTGTATTATGAATAGCAAACGATCCTGGCCATAGTAATGGAGATGAGATGAAGAGACTAAATTCTCCATAAGAACTACGGTCTTCGAAAAATTTGAGTGATTCACTCCTCGAAAACATAATATCCCATGCCAATAGTGTATTCGTATCTAATATGTTTGTGAAACACTGCCATCCGTAGTAAATATCGACATGCATTGTACTAGCGAATAGCAAGCGATTCCGCCCGTGCTCTCGATCTCCAACCAAAAAAACAGCGTATTAGAAGTTCTTTATCAGACTGTACATATTTGGCGAATGGGGACTAAGCGACGAAAGTGTAAGATTTTTCCGTCACGACCCTCTCTATAGTGTTTTGTTTTAAATGACGCTTCATTTTAATAGACGCTAGTAATTCATTTATTTGTATTTTTTCAATAATAATGTACTACGAAATTAACTTTGTTTTGACCTAGTGTTCCACGACACTCACGCATTTTTTTATTCCGCTCCCGCTCGCCCCTGCCCACCGAAAATGCAGCCTTACACGTAACTTATGACGAATGGGAATAAAATATTTTAAGGCATGTTTTTACATGTTTAATAAATATATTATTATTGCATACATACTAAAGTCTGTCTTATATTGTGTATGTGTAGGTATTGTTACTGTTATCAGTAACAATGAAATTGACAATTATAACCTTAGCTGCTAATTTACCACGCATTTAGGACAGAAGTTATTTGAGATGCCTGTCTAATTTACCAAAGCGGTAAAGAAAAACATGGTGACATAGCGGAAACCTGTATTTTAAAAAACAAAAATTTGAGGTAATGAGAAGTCTGTCGACATGCTTTGGGTCCAGAGTACACAAATTCTTGCTTACTTTAAAACCCTCTTAGGGAGCAGGTCATTGCCCAGCAGTGGCACCTATATAAGCTGGCACTTTTTTATTTTTTAACATACGTTACTAATATGAATTAACAAATCGTTTAAATAAATTTGACTATAATGTAATAATTTACTAAGGTCTGACGGACTGCTCCAAAAGTAGGGTACCAATGGATTTCGTATGTACGAGATGTATATATAATTATATTTCTTTGGGACAGTCTAGAGCCTAAACGGCTTGCTGGATTTTTACATTATAAAGTTTCGATAGATTCGAGTTAATTGTGGAAGTGACATAGAGATACTTTAATATTTGAGTTGTTCTCAAAAGAGTACAATTGAAAAAATGAAAACTTTAGATTTTTTTAAACTTGGATTTTTAAATTATAGTGTTAACCATTATGCTTTCTTATTACAGAATGGAGTTTATAATCCAACTCTAAGGGCCTGTAACCGTCAAGCATTGGGTCAGCAGTACATAAATAGCAACCGATTGGCCTCAGAGACCTATACTTTTGCTGCGGCTTTGGACACTAACATGCCTCTCAGAGGAACCATTACCGGAGGCCTCGAGGATCTAGTAAATAGTGCTGTTACCAATTTTCAAACATATACCGGTACGTTATAAATAATAATAAAAATTACATATTTTAAATTGTTTCTATCTTACCTAAAGTAGGTTTTTTCATTTTTCATTCATTTATTCAGTACACCCTTTCATTGGTTCATTCATTTATTCAGTACACGATATCGGAAGTCCACTGTTGAACATTTGCCACGACCGCAGTCGGGCTTGCAACCGCAGTTTTTCTTTTTAAAGTTGTAATCAGGAAAATGCTGCTATCCATCACCTTTTTAACTTTTCTCTCACACATGTAACTACACCCACGGATTGATATGGGGTAGTGGATTCTCTTACGCAGTCATCAATGACCTTTTCTTCTTAATTCGAACTTATATTTTTTCCTAGGATTTTTTATTATGTGAATGCCTGTAATTTACTGTCTTATGCATCAGTATTACACAGAGTGCAGGTAAAAGGAAACAATAAAGAAAGCAGTAAACTTTTGTTAGGCCTCTTAGTACCCTTTACAGGGAACAAACTAATAAGGGACGATTAATAAATTGATTACTTATTTCCAGCAAACAACCTGAATGACATGAACTGTATTACAACGGAGGCGACTACAGTGGACTATCGCTTAAAGACCAACTTATATATAGTACTGGATGCCACGTGGCAGTACAATGCTGTATATCCCGCAATATCTTACCTATTGGACAATATTGAAGTAAGCAAGTACGGATCAAGCGTAACTCTATTAAATGCATTTGACGGAAACATCATTGTGAACAAAACCTTTTCTATATCAGACTTTCATACAAACTACACATTAGCAAAACATCAGGCCTGTACGTATATATAATATTATAGTTGATTGTTTCAGTGACTAACATAAAATGTAATTCCTTGTTAATGTTTTGTATAACGAAACCATTTGTTATTATAGTGTTTACAGGAGTAAATCTTGAATCAACTCTTACGAACATCCGCATGATGATGCACAGCGAGCTTGAAAATGAGAAAACTACCAACTATGTAGGCGGCAATGCCACGGTACTACTATTCCTACTCAACAGTGGCAACATACAAAACACGCCTGCCGTCTGGGAACAAGCCAGGATACTAAATGAAACAGTACCCGGTTAGTATATTTCTTGCATCATACACCATATATTTCACGTTAAAGCTATATTATGTTTGTAGCACGAATGGGTCGACTCGACCTGAGAAGGAACGCGTTGTCACATAACACCAACATAAAATAGCAGCATAATATCGCTGTGTTTTCGTCACAACTCCATTACATCCCCTGGGTGTCTGGCGACTATAGAAAAATCTAGAAAGGCTTGGGTATTTAAGTGTTTCACAACGTTTGAAACTTCGTGAAATAATAAGTTAAATTAAACGCGATGACATCCGTAAAATTATTTTTATTAATATATTTTTTTCGTACCTAATGCACACGACTTCACTTGTATGGTTTTTATTACCTACGCAAATATCTGAAAGATCCGTGTAAATAATAATAATATGGTCCATTTCATTTCGATTACATTTTATCGCAGCTCTATGTACATAAGTTAATACAATTTATTATTTACGATTTAGTTTAAGTTCTTACTCTAATTTGTTTAGGTTGTTGTAGGTATATAAGATTACTAGATTTTTATTTTACTCCTTTTTTATGGTAATAGAAATATGTCCGTCAACTGCTCGGTAATATGAGGCACCGACAGAATAACAGCGCTGTGGCTGAGGCAACACTACAGCATCATACTGAATCGGATGCCTTTTCTTGCTGCAACCCAATGTATTTGTGTATATTGTTATTTTTTTTATTTGATTATTAGTTATAATTTGATTATATTATGCATTGTGTTGTGTGTGGCAAATAAATCATTCATTAATTTCTTACAGATTTAAGAATTATTTTCGCAACTGCAACAAATCAGTTCGACAATCTTTGGAACTTGGTACGGGATTTACATAATGACATTAGAACTATATCACTGAATACAGAAGGAACAAACGTTGAAATCTCTATGAATCCCATATTGGAAAGAATCGGTCAAGGTAACAATAAAAATTATTTATAAACACGTTTCATTTGACTCAACATTAAAGACTTTGGGCCCCCTAACGTTCATAGCCCATTCAAAGGGCGTCGCTAAAAGTAAACTTTGAAAATACCTTAATACGAATGCTTACAAATGAAACTATATACACAAAAATCATATATTTATTCTTTAATATATTGTACTGGTATCGATTTTTTTTTTCAAAGAATTATAACGTATACATTTTTCCTATGTCTAAAATACTTGAAAAACACCATTGCCCATTCTTATTTAGACTCTTCATGACTCTGGATATTATAAGCAGCCAGTTCATTGTTTTTGCTTTCAAACCTCTTGACTTTTAATTATTCTTTGAAAACCGGGAGTCGAAGTTGGTAGCATAATATAAGAAATATCCAGATTGTACCGGGCACTCGTGCTAATCCGGTTAATGTTAGCTATCACATCAGCAACTATTCTATCTTCTGTTCATTGGAGAAGTTGAAGGTGTGCGAAGTGACAAGTATACATGTTCTTCCAGGAAAATATTTACCATTAAAATATTTTTTTATTATTCAAATTAGTATATGTGTAAAATATCAAGTATATAAGTGTAGTTAGTGTACGCATTGATTTTTTTTTAGTTAGATGTTTAGTTAGTAATGGGAGCCGTGGCATGTCAGAGGTGGGGCTCGTTTTAAATTTCATATTACATGAGTGACCCAAGGTTGATGCTGATTGACAGATTTATCATGGTTTACTGTAAACCGTTTACATCGTAAAGAAACCTGCAAACATACACTGGGACAACATGGCGGACTATGTTGCTCTAAAAATCTTCTAAAATTTAGAGAAGACCTGTTCTCAGAGGAGCGACGGTCAAAAGTTAAAAAAATAAAGTCTATACACTTTTTTTTAACTTTTGGTATAATAATTACATGTATGAAGTTTTTAGGATAACTGGTTATGCACAACAACCATGAATTCAAATTACTCAATTTTTTACGTTAATACTTCTTACAGTTGGAAGAAGGATTATCAATCCAACGTGCGGTTCAGTTTACCCGGCAGACTCGTCCTCAGGCAGTAGACACTTCGAAGATTTCGTTGAACCTGGTTACATAAATTTCTATGCAATGAGCCCAAACTATTTCTATCAAAACAATGATAACAGAAAAATACGTATAACGCGCAGCGGCGCCGGAAGTGGCAGTTTGATTGTTTGCTATTCGCGCGTAGTACCACAACCCAGGTAAGAAAAGAAATCACGAAAACATTGTAGTAAATGTTCGAATTTGTTTAGTATTGTGTAGTACGCACGGTTTGTCGGTATGAAAAAGTGAACGCGCTCACCGCAATTTCAGCGGGTAGGATTTTAAAATCTTATAAAGGGTTAACCCTTTCGCTGTCCCGTGCACTACATACAGGTTATTGTGTTAGTATTGTGTCTGGAAACCGGACAGTGAATGTGTTAATAAAAGAATGTAGGTTGACCAACCCACACCCACTACACTAGTACAAAACTCAAAGGTGTCTCAGAGATCACTGACTAAGAGTATAATAATTATATTATATGGGAGGCTGGCAGACTGGCACTAGACGGTGCGATATATATAATTAACATCAATAACACTGTCGAGAAATAATCTGAAAAAAATAAGAATACAAATATTAATATTTTGTTTCTTTGACTAACCATAATTGCCATAGTTGCCAATTTTTTTGGGCGGGTTGACCACAGTCTATTTTCTAGGTCTTATTAGAAAGACGCTGCTGCCCATCTCCTGGTTTTTTTCCCTCTGTCGCCTATTACGAAATCCACGGGTCGTTATGGGGTAATCGATATTTTTACACCACCACGGTATAAAAAATAATATTAACGTAAACAATACAACTAACGTAAACCAAATTATGCGGCACTACTCGTATTTTTTAAAAACTGTGTCTTTAAAATTGCAGACAAAACGCAACGCTTTCGGGGTATGAAGAGAACGCAGTAATCTGTCAAACATTGGCATCTAGTGGTAATATAGAAATAAGCCTACAAAATGCTTGCGATGGGTACTGGACGGTGAATTCCTGTCCATTCTTTTATATTTCCGTGCAATCATCAGCTGCTTCTTCATCTTTGAGCGCTACTTGTGCCGGTAAGCTAATTTTTTAAGTGTATTCGTATTTTTTTTATAGGATAGTTTGACAAACGAACACACAGTCCACCTGAAGGTAAGCGGTTACTGTGGCCCATAGACATCTACATCTATCCTCGTTTGTAAATTAAAATGCAGATGAGTTGTCAAGCGTGAGGACTAAGATGGACTGCTTCTTTTCCAGTAAAGAGGGTCTCCCGTTCTCTACACTCACCAGCGAAACACAGCAGTGTTTAGCTGCTATTTTACGCTGGTATTCTGTGAGAATGTGGTCCTTCCCCGGTCGAGCTGACCCATTATTGCTACAACTATACTACTAATATAGCTGCAGCATGGCTCTACCACGTATAATATAATAAATTTAGCTTTATGTAAATAAAACGTTCGAGAAAAAAGTTTAAGGCAGTGTATGCCCACTTCCTTCCCTCTTGCCCCTTGACCCCTCAAATTTATGGGCCCAATTTTCTTTTTAATTCTCTTATAATTGCTGTTATTATAATGATGTATATTTGATAATCTTCTACTTTACATTAACGAATGTTTGTTTCTTTGTCCCGTATACGATTCATCCCGATCCGATAAAACATTAGTGAGTTGTTATGAGCGCGAACGTTACTAACCAATAATTTAAAATTTAAAATTTTGTACAGCCGACTTCAATATAAGTTATTAAGAATAACTCAAATAACTCAAAAACTATTGGTCTGACCTTGATCAAATTTATATGGGACCACAAGAAAAGTATCAGATTTCATATAAAAAAGAATCATCGAAATCGGCTCACCCAGTAAAAAGTTATGAGGTAACACACATTAAAAAAACATACGCGTCGAATTGAGTACCGTCTCCTTTTTGGAAGTCGGCAGAAAAGGCTTTTCAGCTTTTGTTTGCTTGTTCCTTTTATGCGTTCCTATATGTATATTATAAGCGTATATCTAAAAGATCTTTGGATTCGGATATGCGAGCTTGGCATTGAGAAAATCCTTTCTCTGTACTCATTTCCTTCCCACTCCCAATCTGTTAATTTAGGAATCATTGTACGGGCATCCCGCACCTAATTTATGATCAATTTATTACTAGGGCTAGGACATTTAGGGTGTTAGGGGGTTATTAGAACTTATGACGTTAGAAAAAAAACACCGTCAATACAGTTATCATACTATTTCACTAATTTACTAGATAGAGTAGCATATCACATCCTGTTCATAATTCATGGTATTGAGCACTCTAACCTACCTACTGTGGCAATTTTTGACCAGACTCCATAAACAACAACTCAATAATAAGATTTTTATGTTCAAGGCCACTTAAGTTAACCTGAACAAAATCAGAGCAAGTAATGATTATGAAGATGTTCCCTAATAACTATGGCCATGAATCATAAAAAAATATGCGGAAAAACTTATATCGAATATTTTATACATTCAGTATTGGGCCTAAAAATGTTACGCGTACAAATGGGTTTCTTGAATTTTATTGTCTTCGTATTGTGTGCGGATTTAATAGCATTTTTTTCTTATTTTCAGAAAAATCTTGCAGATTTCCATATAACATTAGATACCAGGTGCAAGTAGAAGAATTGGGATGCTTCAGCAACGCTGTAACAATGAGCCTCAGCTTCGTTATGTTACTATCTGCTATTTTTGTCAGCTTGTTTAGTTGGCATTAATTGATTAACGTGTTGTTTATTTATAAGATTTAATAAGCCTGAAAGTTACAGCGCGCAAAATATCCATTTGAGACCTCTCCCGCTGATGCTCTTGTCGGCTCAGACTTCACCCGAGCCAGGTTTAAGTTACTTTCTAGGCGTAGTATTATAACGATCAGGATCAACTGTATATTAAAACATAAATGACATATAATATTATGTTAATGTACTTGTGATAATTGCGTACCACCTAAATTCACGTAAAAATCGTTAGTATGTCCTATAGTTTTATTATGATTTCATAACTGTCGAAAAGGCCACTGCCATTTTTTTTTTCATTTAACGTTTTCCTTAACTTTATGTTTATCGTTATAGTTAATACAATCAACTATACACTTCAGTTAATTTTGTTTTTGGTGATTTTCCTGTAATTATATTATGTAATTTCAATTAGGAATAAAAGATTTTTTCTACTGTATATCTCAATCTTACCATCACCTTATTTGCTCGTGATACAAATTCTGAGTATTGATTAGAGTGCATAGGTTGCTTAGATAAATATATATAGCTTTTGATAAATATATGCTACGACGTAGGTGCAGTTGCTTTATTCTTTAATCTATTTTTTAATAAAACAACTGAAAAACAACTGTTTCCATTTTTCGTTCAGATTGTATTTACTAAAATAAATAAAATCTTATCGCTACTGGTGTAAGTACTGCTGGAAGTGTTTATTAAAATAATTTATCGCCATAAATATAAATAATCTTAAATAGAATTTAATGCAATAACTCTATGACATAAACATAAATAGCATTATATTTATAATAACGATTTCTTTTAATGTGTTAGTTTTTAGCAGAGTTAATTTGACTTTAAAAGTGTAAGTATACAGGGTAAGTTTTTCTTAATATGATATATTAATATATAATTAATAGATATTTTACGCCCTAATTTTATTTGTATACGCATTTAAAAATTAATATATAACATTAATTTGTGTTTTATTTTTCCTAATACCTTACCTTCACCCTACAATATACAGTGACTTCAACTCGGACCAAAAACTCGACAAATATTTTATCTTTAATCAGTAGTGCAATGTGCGAAAAGATAGATAATTGTAGAAACAGGGGATGCAAAGGAATTAATAATATATATATATATATATATAAACCCAACTTTCAATTCAAATATTTACTGAACACATTCTATTGCAAAGTTTACTGAATACACTAATAATAAAGATCAATAATAATCGTAAATAACTATTTTGGAGATAATGTTTTTTTAATTCACATTCTGGCTACTTGTCCCTTTCGTGACGTGTCGTTATCATCATGAAGCAAGTACAAAGTATTTATGTATTTGATTCATGGTTATCATGGTCAGTAAGTCAGGGTTATTTTTATAAAACTGTAGTGACAGACGAACTTTTGACCCGTTAAGTGGCAATTGCAGTACATTGATACTGAAAATTTCGGGAATCAAGGAAGTGACACAACATTATTATTTAAAAATGTATTTATTGCTTTTCGAAGTATTCTCCGCGAAATTTGACACATTTTTCCATACGATGGAACCAATCATTGAAGCAACCATTCCATTCGGAAGTTGGGGTCTCCAAAATGGCCGTTTTGTAGGCGTCCACAGCTTCTTCAGGTGATGAAAATCTCTGTCCACGCAATTTATTCTTTATTTTAGGGAAAGTATAGAAATTATTAAGGCTTAGGTCGGGGCTGTACGGCGGATGGTCTAATAATTCTATGTTTTCTTGCTCTAAAAACTCTTTTGTTCTGTGTGCGGTGTGAGAACTCGCATTGTCGTGATGGAGGGTGATGCGGCGGTTGCAGTTCTCTTTACGGAGTTCAGAAACGACCTGTGGCAAACAAATCCTAGCATACCGTTCTGCATTAACCGTTCTTTGTTCCTCAAGAGGAATAGTCGCATGGCCGGTTTTGGAGACAAACGTGGCCACCATTTTTTTTTGCAACACTCCGTGAACGAACAATTTTTGCTTTAACTCATTTTCGAACACCCAAACTCGTGACTGGTTTTTTGTTTCGGGTTCTTACGCGTATATCCAGGATTCGTCACCTGATACGATGTTGTATACAGCATTTGAGGATCCTGCGTGGAATCTTTCGAGAGTTCTGACGCACCAAGTAACGCGAGCCGCTTTTTGCTCTTCACAGAGCGAATGGGGCATCCATCGGGAAAACAACTTTTTTACACCTAATTGTTCATGCAAGTTTATTTGTATTTGACTCATGCCAATATCTAAAGTTGCCTGAATTTCGCGGTATGTCACATGTCGATCTTCCTCAATCAGCTTACGCACAGAATCAACGTTTTCTTGGGTGACTGCAGTTTTTGGACCACCTTGACGAGGATCATCACTGAGTTTGACACGTCCACGTTGAAATTCAGCATACCAGCGATAAATTGTGGTTTTGGATGGGGCTTCATCACCAAATGCAGAAATCATCCGGTCAATACACCGTTTTCGTGTTAAACCACTTCGAAAGTCATAATAAAACATCGCTCTTGAATTTTCTCGAGTCAATTCCATTTTCTCAACGACTAAACAAGTTTGACAAAACCTTGTGACAAGACCGAGAATCTTTTTTTAAATAAATAAATGGTATTCGATTTTTAAAATCAAAGAGTTTTCAATTAAAAAGATTTTAATATGACAGGAACAGTGGAAATATTCCATTCCCGATACTTTTAGTGCAGCCTAGTACCTTTCTTTACATGACGAAATGCCTACACATATCCGCCTCGCAGGGGAAATTCAATTTGATTCGATTTTATTTATTGCCATAATATTAAGATGTTGTTAGTTATTAATGAGACCTTACATTCTACCATGATAATGGCGTTCAAAATATTTACAATATACTAAAAAAAAAACTATTATTATTATTACATTTTAATGAAGTAAATTATTAAAGAAAATTATGTAACCATTTAAAAATATTATAGCGTCCAGTTTTTAAAATTAATAAATGTCAAATATCTTAAAACATCAATAAATTGTCAAATATAAAAAAGCAATAAATTGTTAAAACAGTATAATAAATGTTAAATGAAAAAAAACTTAATCAAGGACGGGTTATGTCGGACTCGCATCGACTAAGTCCCATGGTGTTCCACCTTCGCCGTATATTGCAGAACAGGCCATGCAGGGTCACGGTAACGCTTTCGCACACCTCCGCGACCACAACAGCGCTGGCAGTCTCTCCTCGTGAGCCCTTTCTCCTTTTCAAATAAGGCGCACCAGCACACAAGACGTGCCTCCCTACGCGGCTTTCCAATTTCGGTTTCGCAATAAACTCCCCCGAGTCCAATACGTGGAGGCCATGAGGCTAGGGGAAACCAGCACTCGGCAGCACCAGCCTTCCAGACCCAACTCTATTTTAAGGACTCTTAACTTCGGACTCTAACTCTTCTAGCTAGATTTGCCAGATCCGAAGACCAAAATACATATCGGGACAAATTTTGAAAATGTCGGGATTTTGGGGTTTTTATCGGGCGAAATAAATATTAAAAATAATAAGTTTTTTTTAAATTAATAGGCTACAAAAAGTACTTTAAACAAAACTAATCTAATATTAGGTTGCCACATGTAATTGGCATTGGACTTTAGAGTCTACCAATTTGGATCCTTTAGTCTAGTATTCAGAAAAAATTTAAAATTCCAACAATTTAGTTCAAAGTTCAGTCTAATTACTAGGTAACTCAGCTTTTATTAAATCAAAGGCCATACGTTAACTTTCCGAGAAGCTGGAGATTTTGAGTTCTGTCGGGAGTCTGGCGATCATTTAAAATTTCGGGAGAATTCAGACGAATCCCGACCGTCTGGCAACCCTACTTTTAGCCAATGTTTGACTACTATCCCACTCGAAAATAAGTGGCTAAGTGGTAATGTACCCCAAGATGGTAAAGCGTACTGCAAGCCTAATTATTCTTGCCTCCAAGATACAGCCATTATAATCGGAAAGGAAAACCCTTTACATCATACTCAAAATAGATGATACGCTGTGAGCGATACCTGCTCTAATGTCGGGAATTATTACACTCATTTTTTTAAATAAAAATTATATTTCCCACAAAAAACCTGTCCCGACTTCACCTGGATGGAATCTATTAATGTAGCGTCATTTAGACTTAATCATGACAGACCATTTACTTTACCAGTTTTTCGATTTCCCAAAAAAATTCAATATTGTTTTACAAAACAATTTACAAAAAAAAAAATAAGCCTAGATCACCCTGACATTGCTCTGTATCTGTTCGTGAATTTTCATTGCAATCAGTCGGCCATTTCGAAGATTAGCCCGGATAGACATATAGACAGACCGACAGAAAGAGAAACAGCCAAAAGACCGAAAGACAGCAATAAAATTCATGTCTTAATAGCCATCACATAACCACTAAGCCTAATTGAGAAAGAATATACGGTACTTATAACAAAAACACAATTATTGTTAAAATTTTAAATTTTCTCTGTCTTTCTTTCTGTCCGTCTATTTGTTCCGGCTAATCTCCGAATTGGCTGGACCTATTTTGACGGGACTTTCAGTGGTAGATATTTGATGTTATAAGAAGTAACTTAGGCTGCTTCTATTTTAGAAAAATAATTATGGCACCGCGCAAAAAAATTAAAATCCATGAAATCGAATCGTAATGCGAAACTCGTGAGTAAAATGGCGGGGTACAGCTAGTAGGTATAAATATGAATAGATAAGACCTTATAAAACAGAAAACGCAGTAAGCAGTTAGAAGTGAATACAAGATAATAATAAATTAGTCGAAGTATGCAAACTAACAGCAGAACAGCCTACAACGATGTAACATTAGTCGGCTTCATCGCAAAATACTAATCCTTGTCTGTTCCGGCGAAGTAACCACAATAGACAGAATCAAATGAAATAAGACAACCTATTGATTGACTTAGATGGACTGGCCCCGTCTGTCTTTGGTCATCTCTGTTGCCTAGGTAACTGGATCGTGGT